AGTTTCACCAAACTCCAGAAATTCCAAACTGAATGCTGACTAGAAAAATATTTTTATTTTCATTTGAGGTTATGTTATCTCTTTTCTTCATAGCTCTCACCAGGAGGGAGAAATGCAAGCACAACTGCCTGAGACAGCAACACACAGGCATTTAGTAAGAGACTTATAAATGAGAAACTACTATAAACTGCTATAGAGCTGCAAATAGCAATGGAGTCATGATTGAATCGTTTTGGCTCAGGTTCTGGAGCTAACTCATGGTGCAGAGAACAGAATTATACTCCCATGTAAAGGCAACCTGACAGGCTGTCCACCAAGATCTTGCCTCTGCACAAACATGGTGAGCTCAGTGTCAGTAAACCACTACATAACATTCCCTAATACCCAACTAAGGACCCTAAAACAAAGAATAATTTCTATTCAAGAAAAGTACCATCTCTCTAAAGATGGTGCCACAGTCTAAGATCAATCCTCACAGCCTGACTGGCTAATTCCATCCCATCTTTCCTGGTGAGCTCCATGTCCAACTGAAAAAATTTAAGAGACCCAATGACTCAAAACAAGAGCTCAAGGGTCCACTTGTTAACCCTGGAATTGATGGCAAAACCCAAATAAATTGCCAACTGTAATGATCTATGGTGGGGGTAGTGGTGCTGAGTGCAATAATGTGGACTTTGAAATAATTCAAACTTACAATGACTCTCAAGCCTGCATTTCAGTGTTATCTACAAATGTCACCTCAGAGTAATATTTCTGTAGCAGCCATGGCATGACATACTGCCAAGATTAATGTCTCTAGCTGGAGAGAAGTCCCAAAATAATGACAAGATTTAAACAAGATCTTTAAAAATATATCCTTAAATTGTAACCCTACAGTGTGGCAGAAAGATGAAATTAGAGAGTTCCAAATTCTAGTCCTTGTCCAACTACAGATTGGGATGGGGATCTTGAGCTGTTTCCTCACCTCTGATAGCAACATTGGCAGGAGAAGCAGGAGTAGGGATTATTGGGTGATGGTATAATACCTCACAGAACTGTTTGTGGATTTAATTTTACATTGTAATACAGATGATAGTTAATAATTTTTTTCCACAATCGTGGGGAGAAAGCCTGGGTGAGTGCTCTACCAACTGAGCTATATCCCCAGTCTCACTGATTTTTTTAGTTGTAGGTCGACACAATACCTTTATTTTTATGAGGTGCTGAGGATCAAACCCAGTGCCTCACACATGCTAGGCGAGAGCTCTTCCTCTGAGCCACAACCCYAGCCCCTCACTGATTTTTTACTTAAGCAAAAGGTGAATGTTCTTCATAATCTTCATTTTATAACAGAAACATAGGATATTTTAGCAAAGGATAAATGCAGTTTGGGTCTCACATTTGAAGTTCATTCTTTTTTTAAAATTTTTCTTCTTTTGTGTGTATGTGTGGTACTGGAGACAAAACCCAGCGACACTTTACCCTTAAGTTATATCCTTGGTGCTTTTATAAAATTTTGAGGCAGAGATTTGCTAAGTTACTGAAGCTAGTCTCAAAACTTTCTTTAAAATACTTTTTAAAAAAATATTTATTTTTTAGTTTTGGGTGGACACAACATCTTTATTTTTTTTATGTGGTACTGAGGATCAAACCCAGTGCCTCACACATGCCAGGCGAGTGAGCTACCACTTGAGCCACATCTCCAGCCCCAAGTCTCAAAACTTTTGATCTTCCTGCCTCAGCCGTCTGAGTTGCTGGAATTACAGTTTTCTGCCACTACATCTGCCTCCTTTTTGTATCCTCTATTTTTGGTTAGAATCCAATGCAATCCAAACTTCTCTATTAACAATAACAACAACAACAACAACAACAAAAAGGCTTAGAAATGTATATGATAGATAATCCAAATGGTAACTAAAAAGTCATTCAGAGATGCTCAAATCAAGAGAGACCAGAGCATGAAAAGCCCAAATCAAAGCTTTCCAAACTTCAAGAATCTGGGCTAAGGAGGGCATGGTGGCACACCCCTGTCATCCAGCAATTTGGGAGGCTGAGGGAGGATGGCAAGCTCAAGGCCAGCCTGGACAAATAAATAAACAAAAACAACTGGGACCCTGTCTCAAAATACAAAGGGCTGGGAATGTAGCTCAGTGGTAGAGCACCTAACTTTAACCCTGAGTACAAAAAAACAAAAATAAAAATAACTGAGCTAAGTACCCCAAAACTCACAGAGTAAAATAATCATTTCATAACTATTTACATTAATGTCACAAYCTTAATTGCTGCAATCCCAATAAAAAGTTAGTCAATTTCCTTTGCTTCAAATACCACATTAAAAAAAAAAAATTACAACATTTAGTGAGAAGTCAAGTCTGAGAGACCAGTTCCGTTAGACTCACTGCACCTGTGAAACTGCTGACAGACTAAGAGAACAATGAAGGTCATGCTCATCATACCAGAATGGGCTGGGTTCAGCCAAAGTGAAGAGCACACAAGACAAGAGGATTCTGAAATTAGAATGGCATCTAGTAAATTCTCAAATTGGGGCTCTGCTGATTAACAAATCTGGTTCCTCTAGACTGCTCCTCTCTTACTTATAAAAAAGGGTGAGCTAACAAGATCTCCTGCGACCATCCTTTCACTCAATCCTTTAGCCTTCCTGGCCTCTAAGTTTCCTCAGTTGGCCAAGGAACGTTCCCTGGTTCCTGCCTCAGGGCTGCTACTTCACTGGCTGGCCCCCTCTCTCTACCTGGAAGGTTCATCACTAGATGGATGTAGTTTTTTCCTTCACTTCCTTCAAATCTTCACTCAAATGCCACCTTGCCAGTGAGACATTCCTTGTAATTTTCCTTCATAGCTCTGATCTGTCAATAATTATTATTCGTTCATTTTCTATCATTTCCTTATCAGAATAAGGCTTACTTCTGTTTTGTTCACTACTGTATTCCCAGCATCTAGAACAGTGGCTGGAATATAGTTGATTCTCAGTAAACATATGATGAATGGAGTGAGAATAAGTCAAAGGGCACAACAAATGACAAACTAGTCTGTTTTTAAGGCTACCTAAGTCAAATATCAACTGCCACCCTGCTCCCAGCAGTGGGGATTGAAGCCAGGGGTGCTCTACCACTGAGCTGCATCCCCAGCCCTTTTTGAGACAGGATCTCACTAAGTCACCCAGGCTTGACATCAAATGTGCAATCCTCTTGCCTCAGCCTCCCAAATTGCTGGGATTACAGGTGTGCAGCATTGTGCCTGGCTAAACCTTCAACTTTCTTGAAGAAAGAAAACAGGATTTAGGATAATGAGATTATAAGGACTTAAGAAAGAATGTTTTMGCAATGTAAAATAGGGTTGGATAAGAAACAGGTATAGTTCTGGCTTCTTTCAAAGTGTTTTTCAAACTTAAAAATGCCTGAGAATCACTAGGCTGCTTGTTATGAAAGCAGGTTTCCAGGTCTACCTCCAGGAAGCTGACTTGGTAGTGATTTTGATGTGAATGGTCCACAGCCCACCCCTTGGGAAGCACTGATTTCACACCACTACTTCAAGCAAGACATAGAAGGCAGCTCTTGTCCATGTAGGTCACAGAAACTACATTAATTKGTAACACGGTAAAGAATAAGCACTGTCAACAGCTGAGACATGCACAAGAGATAAGCTTTTGCACGTGTGTACTTCGACTAAAAGGGTGAGTCTCTCTAGTCATAAAAACTTCCTGTGGTACTTAGTGCTATACCCAGGAATGTTGTTATTCCAGGTTAAGTACCTTTGTTTGGGGCCATCAAATCAAGCCCATACTAAGTAGGTTTAACCCATGGCAAATTCTGGTTTTGCAATACTAGGTATTCACATGGCCTGCTTTGTGTTTTTCATAAAGGTCAGACCCACCCCACGCTTCAGCTGCATGAAAGCCACACCTTAGATAAAGTATAAAACACATGTTACCATAGTATAAAATGATTCAATGGTTCCCAATTTAATATTAGTTAACCAAACAAACCCAGGACCCCCAACACAGAGCTAATCAGAAGAGCTACTCAAAGTTCACCCAAGAGCAGACTGTTCATAACAAAAGATGTTTCTTTTTCTTTTGTGGTGCTAGGGATCAAACCCAGGACCTTACACTTGCTAAGCAGGTGCCCTACAATTGAGCTCCATCTCCAGCCCAAAATAGCTGTTTCTTTAAACACTGTATCACAGACACCCCCTACCCCCTGCAGGCACAACCATAGGTCTTCTTCCCAATTTGCCACTTATTCCACTGAAAGGCTGCAGAAACCAGGCAGCTACACTAGCATTAAGGATGGAATTAACTACGCAAACAGACGTTTCCTCCAAATTCCAAGGAGTGACCTAAACCCTAAGACTTTTGCTCAAAGCTTCTGTTTTTTGAATGCAGAAACAGCTGGTTCCTACCCTTTAGGAAAAATGCTAGTTTCTGGAGGCCATCAGCGGGGCTGGGGCAAAGAGAATGGCTATTTTTTTCCTTCTATTTCTTATGAACATCTTAAGTTTTTTGTTCCAAAGCTTAAATCATTCTTTACACACTTTGGAAACAAAAGCTATCTGGGCTGCTAAGTCACCCATGCCCAGATGGATTCACAGACATGCCTGGAAATGTTCTCTTACACTAGATATTGATGTAGAAACTTACAAAAGAAATTCTCACAGAGGTCTGGGGACTCAATACCTTGGAACTTTAGTGTTAACTAACTATAGGTTAAGCTCTTTGCTAGAATGTATAGTTATAATAATTTCCTGAATTAATTTATTACATGTAATACTGAGTTTGAAAAACCACTCCTACAACAGCTCCATTCTATCTGATATATACATATTTTTGTTAAGGATAAACTAGAGTAAGTAAGGTGTGTGAGGATATGCCAAAGAGTCAAAAAAGAAAAGAAACCATGCCATCTGAATATCTCTTACTGTATTTCTTTCCAGACAGGCGTGTCCTACTAACTTCCACAAGTTATAAGCTAGGGGTGGCCAACTGGCTTTCTCAATAAACTCACCTTCTCTCCTTGGAGTGACGGGACTGAGTCCCGCAAACTGTGAAAGCTGTCTTTGATGTGGTCCCTGCGTTTTCGTTCCAGTGCATTATGATGAGCCCGTTTGTCAGCCTAGAAAAATGGGAGAAAGAACATTAGGACACCACTCCTTTGGCTTGGTACAAGGTGAGTGGGGTACAGCCTGGAAGTATATGCTGTCAGCGCTGTCTCTGGTGAGTGGACTGGGAAGATTGGTCCAAGTGGGCAGTTAGGAGTCTCCAGAATTAGGCTCTGCTAAAGGGGGAGAAAGGGGTGAGCAAGGCTTGCGACAGGAACATCCAAAGTAGCTCGATGCATCCAGCTCATGCATAAGTAAAATCAAAGTTATTCATGGGGACAAAATGTGACTCTCCTGCAACACCAGTGTCCCAACTTACTTATGTGACACAACAGCTACCAGTTGGTGGCTGGGAGGAGACTAGGGAAATCTCCAGTGGGTCCCTTCAAAAGATGTGATATTACCCCCATTGTAAGAGATTCCGGCGGAGGGGGTGCCCCATGGAGAAGTGGAGTCACTGGTGCAGTGCTCCTCTCCATGTGAAACCCACCACTGAAGGATCTGCCCAGCTCTCCAGTTGCTAAAAGGCACTAGTTTAACCCTCTCATCAAATCATACAAGAGAAACTAAAACCTCCAGAAAAACCCAGTTGCATAAAATCTAAGGTCATAATAACAGAGCTGATAGAGATGCCAACCACATTTGGAGTCCCGTTTCCTAAACCATTCACACAGGCTGAGCCAGAAATGTAGTTCTCACAAGACAGGCCTTCTGACACCCACAAGCTCTGAATAAATTCCTTCAGGCACCTGTGGCAGGTCAGGCTAATTAGGCATTTTCGAAATACTCAAACCAAAGTCTTTAACCTGTCCTGCTCCTCCTTAAAATCACAAAGAAGACAGCGAAGACAGCCAATGAATCAGGAACAGCAAAGGATTCCAGTAAAGACAGTGCTGGTGAGCACTATGAGGGAGCTTCAGCTTGAGCACTGTGAGGTCACTGTTAAAAGGATATCCCCTCCAAATGGAACACAAGTGCTTAACTTAATCCARAGCAAGAACTGTACCACACTTACACTCCGATAATTATGGAGAATATGCTCTGAGATTTACCTTGAATATGCCAGGTTGCAAGGAGCTAGCCTACACAACAAGTCTACATATGGGAAAATGAGGTGGCTTTAATCCACTCAGAGAGGGCGAGGACTTAAAAAAAAAAAAAAAACAAGAGTAAATAACTTGGCTTAGCACAATAATAATGCCTCCAATGAATTTTTGTACTAGACAAGATGTATAGACAAAAATCTACTATAAAGACTAGAGCTGTGAGGATGAAAGAATTTGCAATTCTCATATTATCTAATCCTAAAGATCTGAGTCAAACCAGAGGAGAGGCCAGGAGCAGTTGTGGTCATTTTAATTACTTCCTGGTCTCTTAAGCATACACCTCACCAATAGCTCTACTGAATGGACATGTGGCTCCCTTCATGGTCATGGTCCTTCAGAGCATGCCACTCTTCGAGGACAGAAGCTAGAAGCACTTCTAAAGCTGTCCCATCTTAAGTCAGAATTCACTATAAAGTAAGAGTACCTCCTGGACCACAGAGATGTATAGAATAGTATGGGGAATCTAAGAGGATTATCAAACTCAGAACACCAGATGACCTGGGGCTACAGGAATTCAATCAGAGGTGTTCTGGTAATTTTTTTTTTTTTTTTAATTTTGGTGCTGAATCCAAGGCCTTATACATGCTAGGCAAGTGCTCTACCACTGAACCACATCCCCAGTCCAGAGATAGGTACTCTGCATCATGACACAACATTAAAGCAAGAAAATTATAGATATTTTCTAACAGCAGTATGAAATACCTTGAAGGAATTAAACATATTTAAGTACTCAGTCTTTGTCCAACTTTTTGTTCCCTCTAGTCATCTATACAAAGGTAAACTGGGCTGGGCCTATACCTGAGGTGCTTAGAAGGGCTGACATTTGGCAAGTATCTGCCTCTTCAGTGTTTGCTGTGTACTCTCCAAGATGGTCTATTTACATGCAAATTAATCGCCCAGCTTTGGTCTCCAGCAGCAGCCCAAGATACTCAGTCTACTAAATCACCCTGAGTCCTGGCCCTCCTCCCAGCTTAAGAGCTGTGCACAGAAGCAGTGACAACAGAATTACCCACAATCCCTCCTGTTGATACAAATAAAATTCTAATCATCTGTTTTCTTTCTGGGAGAGCACTGTAAATCACAAACAGCTAGAATCAAGTTGGACTTGGTTTTACTGAGCCTGCACTAGAGGCATGGAGAGAGGTAAAACCTAACATTGAAATCATCCCCACAATGCCCTACTCTCCTCCCATTCACTGAGCCCTGAAAGGACTCAAATGGACAAGTCTTTTGGTTAGAGGACTGTAAGTGAACTTGGCTGTGGACCATCAGCAGAAATCTTGGCTTCTCATCTGGGGCGCCAGCCAAGTTTGAGAAGTTGGCTCAACAAGGAAAAGGCAGCAGTCCACTGCCTGGTAGAGAGCCTGGGCTAGGGACTGTTGTTCTCAAAGTAGGGGATGGAATTTCTGTGGTAGTTCCAAGCCCAATTTAACTAGCAGATGAGTGGAACCTTAGACCAATCCCTGCTGCCATGTCCATCCCTGAGCAGCTAGGCCTAACCAGAATCAATTTTAAAGCTCTTGACATAATGGCAAGTATATATTTTTTTCTCTTCTTCAAGCCTCATTTGCATGAGCAAGTTAAAAAACATGCAAAACTAACATGCCTAATTCCAGGCAACTCTGAATTATATCACCAGTGGCTTAAAAGAGCACATGTAAAACTGAAAACCTAACATGAGGTTGAAAATTCTCTTCGGGAAATATTTCCAAACCACAAATCCATCCAGCCTGATTACCCCATTCCACCCCCACACCCAGAGGGCCCAAACCTAGAGTTTATCACTGGCTTGTTAACCACCTTTCCTCACTGGCAATCCCTTCCCAAAGGAATAAGATTTCAGAGTTGAGAAGGAAAATGGGTGAAGACTCTCAGTGTACGGCATCAGAGATCCTCCCACAAACTCAAAAGCATTTTTCTTTTTTTTTAAAGACCAAACAATTGTGTCTTGAACAAGTTAGACTCAGCTCAGATGAGCAAGCTTTCTCGCCTACTGTCCTAAGAAAGATGTCATGACATTGAAAACTGTGGTACTGAAAGTACCCTTGCCAATTAATTAGGTACAACTTGAGTTAGGTAACAGAAGACTTCTTGGGTTATTCAGCAGGCCCCCAAATATCACCCCAATACATTCTCCAGGAGCAATGGCTGGATGCTGCTGGCTCTTCAAGCACAATGGACTGCTAGTTTCTGCCAGAAAGCCTTTCCTTCAGGGCAGCCTAACAAATACTAAGGGGCTAAGCAATACCAAAGAGTGGCCCACAGATGCTCAACAGGAACTACAGCACCAAATTGCTTCCAGCTTTGGCATCTCTGCCAAAATTTTACTTAGCTTCTCAGTTTTTATTTCCATTAAACTAAACTTCTGTACTGGTAGCCAGAATAAAAATCTTCACCTACAATGTATCCATCCCTGATACTAACAAGCAGATGTATTTTAAGTGTTAAATAAAGACATTATTTTATTGGCCAATGAATTATTAAAACTGGCAGGAGGTTTATCAAAGCCAAGGAGTTCTGTTCAGAATTGAGGGAAATCTTTCAAAATTGAAATAATTTTTTCAATAAATTGAAATAATAATTTTCAACTTATTGCACAGAGAATGCATCTTCTTTAGAGGCATGACATCAGTCCGCAATTCTAGGCAAACAGCATGGGGACATAAATGATTCATTATTCAAGCATGAACAAGGTTCTAAGAATAATGCCATTTCTTGCAAGTTACCTTACACCTAGTCTTCTACAAGGATTCCAATATGGAAAATATAGACTCCAATATAGAAAATTCTCAGCAATATAGGGAACCTGTGTTGCCCAGTAAGCATTAACTGCATTTAAGGAATTTAAGAATATAGCCAGAGTTGTGGTGCACACCTGTAATCCCAGTGACTCTTGGAAGACTGAGGCAGGGGGATCATAAATTCAAGGCCAGCCTCAGCAACTTAGTGAGACCCTCAACAACTTAAAAATTATAAAGACTGGTAAAACCCTTGGGTTCAGGCCCAGTATGTATACGTACATGTGTGTTTATATGCATACATAGACACATATATATGAATCTCAATTCATTTTAGAGGGAAGATAGCACTGCTTATGACTATAATCAAGCTATTCTTATTTAATAATTAGGACACTGAAAAAGGAAAAGGTCCCAAATTCTCATCTGGAAAAAAATCTATTCTTTATTTCTGATAAGAAACAGAATAATACTGAATTTCAAAGCAACTTAAAATATATATTTGAATCAACATGAAAATTGCAACATGAAATAATGGGCAACTGGGATGATATGAACTCACTAAGGTCCCTAACATGAAGACATTAATTGCAATTTCCCAACACCTCTCCTGCTTGAAGTTGACTACCTAGTTATATATTTCGATCATCTAATGAATATATTTGTTTTCAAGGTTTGGTGAAAACAAATGTGCCTCAAAGAACTGGGGAACACTATTATCCAAAGATAACATTATATTAGAGCCACTTAAAAGGAGACAATTGGTGAGACAATTTTAATTGAACACCAAATTGGATTCACTGGTCAACTCTTATACCACTATTGGCATCTCAAGGAAGAAGAAAAAGACTCAAACATAAGAACATCTTTCTTATGAGAAGACAATACCTTCCTGAGATCTCAGAGGAATGACCAAATCATTCCCTTCTGAATATACTACAATTCCTCAAGAAACAAAGAGCACTGAGCTATTAAAAATACTTCACACCAGAAAGGTCCAGAAGTAGAATTGCATAGATCTGTTTTTAAACCCCTAACAGATACACTGTAAACGCAACACGTTCAGTTACAATACATTGGAAAAGGCCTTGGTTTCCTGATCAACAGACTAATGCTACATTTCTTATATGCTTCCACCTTTTCCCAGAGAAATTTCCCAAATAAAGCAAAGGGAACCTCTTGTATAAAATATACCTGTTCCAAAAAATTATCTTTACGTGTAAAAGTTTCCCTTCAAAAAAATAGTAAAAATAWCATAACATCAGTGGGATTCTGTGATGTACTGAATTTGGTAATATTGTCCTGGGTTACTTCCTTTAACAAAAGCTTACTGGTAACTGGAGAAGCTATTTTGCGTTTATACTAAGGCAACAAAAACATTCGTCAAATCAGTTTCACTTTCTGTTACAGTTAGCCTCACTTCCTAATTCTGTTCGTGCTGAGTATCCTGCATATCTCCTATAGTAAGGCCTACAAATTGTAGTGACATTTTAAAATATGAATGTCTCYTTTTCTATCAGGCCAATAAGACATTTTCTAAGTAACTTTTAAAAAGATCAACTATTGTCCTAAGTGATTGTTCATAGTCTACATCTTTTTCTGAACGTTTTTTTCCCAAGGCAAAACTTAAGTTTTCTCCAAAATTTAAAAAAACATATGTTTATGATCTATACTAAATTTCAAAACAGTAAACAGATCTAATCAGAGGGGGAAAATGGAATCAGTTTTTAATCTACCCATTCACAACAGTTTGATATACTGTGAAACTATCTAAAACTCATCTGCTTTTTTTCCCATCCTATTTTGATTACCTTGTGCCAGACAATACTTAAGTCAACAAGTAGGTGTGTCAAATTAAAAACAAAGGGTCTTGAGCCACAGGGCTCAATTCCTATCACCAAAAAACAAAACAAAGCAAAGGGTCAAACCTACTTCCCTGTCTATCCCTCAAAGTCAAAGGAAAAAAAATCCTAGGCACACCACAGCAAACTAAAAACATCTATACAAAACAAGGAGATTAGAATTCTAGGAGAGTGGAAACTTTTTAATTATTCAGTAAATGAATTTACATCAATACTCATATGGAAGAATATTTTGAAAAGCAGAAAGCTTTCAAGAACTGTGAGCCAAAATTTCACAAAGAAAACTTTTTTCTCATTTGAAAGCCAATATAATCCCAATTCAATGAATGATTCTGCAAAGGAAGCCTTACCAATCCTACCCTCCAACCCTGATCAAACCCTGGGGCAGATTTTACAACTGAAGACATGAAAAAAAAAAAAAAATTTTTTTTTAAACGAGTGAGTCTCAAACACAAAACTCCAAATACACATTATTAAGGATAAAATAATAGTAACTGGAAAAAAAAAAGGCAATTCAATGTTAAAATATACTCAAATATATTTATAAATTTAAGGATGTGACAATATTTCAACAAAAAATAAAACAAATTATTTTTAGTTAACTATTATCCTCACAACAACTGCTTCACCAGATTTTTATGGAAATATCAGCTCTGAACAAATGAAATTTGTCTTCATGCCTATCTTCTTTGACAACCTACATAATCCTTTTGGTCGCTCTAATGAAGAGTAGGTGCAACTAAGARAACTTGCCTTTACCCTGAGATTATTAAATTTTTCCATCAGATATTATGAAAGTGGCATCCTGCAAACTCTTAACAGTTTGGAGAAACTGCTGTTTTGTACACCATTTTAAACATAAGAAAAATGGGGACTGAGAATATAATTCCAGTACAGTGCTTGTCTAGCTTGAACAGGGCTCTGGGTTCAATCCACAGCATGGTGCAAAAAAAAAAAAAAAAAGATATAAAAATCAGAAAAATAACAAAATCTGGATTTCTAGTTTTTCTTTTAAAAATAGAATAGAAAGATCTTGGCAACACTGAGTCCTCACTCCCACTTACCAACCCACTGGATTTGAGTAGTGGCTGCCTTTTTAGAAGTGACATATGCTTTCCAGTACCCCAGTCCTCACTCCTCCTATCTAATTCTTGACAATCTCTTTGTCTGGTCCCCACAGGCAGATGAATTCTTGACCTCCCCCCAACTCTTACTGGTCCCAACTTCAAGTATTAGACACTATGATATACTTGTTTCTCCTTTTTCTCTTTTTACTGGGTCTGTTTTTCCTCCTATCTATACCCACATTACTGTCTCAGACTCCAAAGACATGAGATAAGTATCTATACAAATCCACAAAACCCATCGACTGAGAACATTAATATCAAAACCCTAAGAAATTATTTTAGCACTCTATGGTTATATCCATCACACTTCTGCAAAGGTGTCTCTGCAATGCCCCATTTCAACATTTGTTTTTCTTTATGTTTCTCCTTCAACTCAAATAGAGTCAGACCACAAGAAGCTGTCTGTACAGGACCTTTCAAGATTCCACCTTAAACTCCTCTACATTTACAATTTTTGCATAAGAATACCATGCTGTGCTAAATTCCTTGGGTCTAGAGCAGTCACATGACTTTTGGTTAAAGGAGATTACTGCATGTGGCTTCAGCTTCACACAACTATGCAAACAGAGTTTAAAAACCTACTTGTTCTTAAATGAATCTTCTGGACACTCTGCCGTCAAACAATGCTACCATTCTCTTCAGAATGCTTTATTTTTTCATTTCTTGCTTATATAGTGGTAGCTGGATCTCTCACCTGAAAACTACAGAACAATTCATTTCTTTGCACACAGCTCCTCTCACTCACCCAACTCACTAGAATCTACCACCTGAGAATCTAGAATCATGGAATTTGCAAACCCCTCTCCCCAACCCCAGAAGGCCCCACCTCACCTTAGCAGCTAACAGGAGTTTACTACAACATGAAAAGTAATAAAACAACCCCTTTTGCTCTCTGACCCCAAAAAGGACTAAAATTGCACGGAAATGAAAATGAAATGGAGAGTAGGAGACGTACCGCAGATTGAAACCTCGGTTGCTCTTCCTGGAATAAGAGAGAAAAAAAATAGAAAATATAGAAGTTATTTTTACACTTCGCATTCAATAATAAGAAAGAAAATGCCGGCGGCGGAGGAAGCGGCGGGTGGGGAGTCAGCCCGACACCCCTCCCTCCCTCTCTTCCCCCTCACCCCAACCCCCCAGCGGGATCCGGTAGCAGGGTAGGAGGGTCCCGAGCGCAGCCCCTCCTTCCGGGATCCGATCAGGGCCAGAGGGGTCGGAAGACTGTCTCCTCCCTCGGACCCAGCTCGGGCATCTGAGCACTCCCCACCCCTCACCGTCCGCCCTCACCCCCAGAATCCGCGGGTCACGGTAGGAGGGGGTCGCGGACCCAAGGGGCAGGTCCTGAATGCCGTCCCCTTCTCCAGGGTCCGGACAATGGGATCCCGGGCACACCGCATCCCTGTCCCCGGATCCTGAGCGGGGTGGGGTAGTGGAGGAGGCCGCAAAACCCTTCTCCACGGAAGGAGGTGGGGGTCCCGGAGGCCGCGTGTCTGCTCCCCACCTCCAGTCCCAGGAGGCCGCTCCGGCCAGGAGCCCGGAGGGGAGCGAGCCGGGAGCGCGACGCAGGCGATCCCAGCCCCCGGGGAAGGGGAAGAAGGCGGCGGCAGCCCGGCCCCCTCCCGCCGTCGCCCCGCTGGGAGCCCCGGCCGCTGTCCCCGCCTGACAACCCGCACGGGAAGGAAGAAGCCCCGGGACTCACGTCGCTCTCCACCTCGATGTCATCGTTATCGCTCATTTCCTAAGGCCCAGGGAGCGGACACTGCAGCGGGGACGGGGAGGGGGAGGGGCGGAGGGGAGGGGGAAGTCACCGACAACAACAAGCCGAATGCCCCCACACACACTCTCACTCACTCACTCGCTCTCTCACTCACACACACACACACACACACACAACACGGGCGAGAACCACCTCCTCACTGCAGCACCGGATCAACGGCGGCACGCACGCCCGATCTGCCCCCCGCCACGTGACCGAGCTCGCCGCGCCTGGGCAGCCGAGACTTGTAGTCCTCGTCCCTCTGACTGGCGGCCCGGTGAGCGCCAGAAAAACTACAAGTCCCATAAGGGACCGCACCCAGTCACCGCCTGCCGGGCTTGTTGACGAAGCCCAGAGCGCCTGCGCATCYAGGAGGGGGCGGAGGGAAATGGCGCGGTGCCTGCTGGGAGACGTAGTCCACAGACCGCGAGTTGTCAGGAGGTTTTCCTCCCGAGGCAGCAGAGAGGCTGCCGGGAAGACAGGACACGTGGAGGGAGCTGGGCTCCTGGAGCCGGCCGCCGTCTGAGTTCTAGGCGCTGGGCCCAGGGGACTGGGTGGAGGCTCTTGGGGAGAAGGCGGCTCCCTAAATAACGCTGTCTCTCCTTGGCGCGACTGGTCTTACTTTGACTTTTTGATGCTTGGGTCGCTCCGCTTTGCGCCCTGGGGCGTAACCCGCCTGGGAGAGAACCGTGCTGCTGACTAGGGGGCGCGGCTCAGGATGCCCACGCGGACCATCGGCATCTGGTTGTGGAGGGTCAATAGGAGGTGTTAAGTGGCGTTGCAGGACGTGGTAGAGGACCGACCTCGCGGTGGGTCTGCTTTCTTATGTCCGCGAGTGACCATCCTAGCTACTCGGTTACTCACGTGAGGCTCATAGATTACCAGGACCTCATGTACGTGGAAATAAAAGCCCTTTCGGAGTTTGCTGTAGCCCGTGCAGTTTAGGGAGTGCCCCAGTTCAGAGAACCATAATTAAGGGTTGCAAGAAAGATCAAAACGAGAAACTTGCACAGCTCCCTATCCAGTTAAAATCATATTTATTTACTATGGCATGAGGTGCAATTCCATCCATCCCACCAGTATTTACTGAGCAACTAACATGGGGCAGCATAGGAATGGCATCATATATAAGACTGGAAATTGCCCCTGTTTTCGTGAAACTCACAGCTGTGGACTAAAAAGTGAGATTGCCCTGCCGCCATTTTTGGGAGTGTGCATCAAATCCCACAGAAAGGGAAAACAATAACAAAGACACTTTCCAAAGTCAGATAAACTGCCCAGCAATATGGCACATGCCTGCAATCCAAGCGACTCAAGAGGCTGAGGCAGGGGGATCACAAAGTTCAAGGCCAGCCTGGGCAACTTGGTAGACTTTGTTTCAATAAATAAGTAAATAAGGTGGCGGGGGCGCTTGGGATGAAGTTCAGTGTTAGAGCGCTTCTGGGTTCAATCACCAGTAATGGGAGAAAAACAATAACAAAGGTAAACCAACCAATTACTCTTGCATCTGGTCTCCAAAATGAATGAAATTAGTTTTTTTTTTTCCATGAATTACTGCTCCCTGAATGAAAACCATTTTATCTCTCACTTTTGAATTGGAAATTTGAGGTTTTAGCATATAAGCCTTTGTGACATATATCCCTGTGTCTGTAGATAGTTCTTGCCAAAGAGACAAATGTAAATGTGGTAGACTTTCCTTTTTTCCCTTAAATATGTTTTGTTTATTGCTTAGTGATCCAGCTCTACTGATGTCTGCAGTCTTTGCAAATGAATTTATCTTTTCTAAATAAATGTTTTGTCTGCTAGTGATGGGGAGATGGTCATAAGAAGACCATTGTGTAATAAGAGAGGTGTTGGGCTAGAAGGGAGACAGGGATGACACATTTTGGGTAAGTCAGGACTAACTAATGATTACAACAAACACTGGTTGGATAGCTGCTATGTGCAAAGCACAAACCCCTAGTTGAATTTACCTGGAGGCTTAAAAATTCCCACACTGCCCAGCATGGTGGTATACCCTGTAGTTCCAATTACTCAGGAGGCTGAGGCAGGAGAATCTCTCAAATATGAGGGCAGCCTGCCTTCAAACTTTAAGCAAAAGTTTTTGTCTTTTGTTTGTTTGTTTATTTTGTGTTTGTGCTAGGGATTGAACCCAGGGCCTTGGGCATGCAAGGCAAGCACTCTACCAACTGAGCTGTATCCCCAGCCCTAAACAATTTTTGAAGGGGGACTGGGAACATGGTTCAATAGTAGATCATTTGTCTAGCATATGGGAGGCACTGGGTTCACTACCCACTGAGCCAGGGATGGGGTTGTGTTCTCTCTCCCAGGCCACAACCCAGATCAATTAATCAATCAGTCTGGGAGTGAGAACCAATCAGCCTTAGTTTATAAACCATTTCAGGTGATTTCACTGTGTACCCAAGACTGAAAAGTACAACTATAGAGGATGCCAAAATAAATAAGATAGTCTTGGGGCTGAGGTTGTAGTTCAGTGGTAGAGTGCTTCTTGCCTTGCCCACAGGAGGCATTGGATTCGGTCCTCAGCACCACATAAAATAAATAAATAAGTAAAGATATTGAGTCCATGTTCAACTAAAAAATTAAAAATAAATGGAATAGTCTTTCACTGAATTAAAAGAATAGATTTTATGGTACATCAATAATTATTATATTTCAATAAAGTTGTTACACAAGAAAAATAATCTTTGCTCATGCAGAATCTAAAACCTGACAAGATGTAAACACAATGCAGTGAAGACAGACAATGTGTCAAATAGTATGTATAGGCAACAAACGCTTTAAGAGCTCACAGGTTGGGGGAAAGTGCCAGGTCAGAGGTGGGGAGAGGAGGTGTTCATTAGGCTGTCAGCTCCACAGGGGCAAGTGCTGTGTCTTGCAGAGACCATGCCAGATTTTACTCACCATGAACCTTCCATTGTGGGAAGGAAGTCTGGTATGCTGAAGTGAGGGAGTAAAGGCTTACTGGGTGGAGAAACTGGAGATGTTAACATTCTTTCTAGTAATTGATAGAATATGAATGTAACCAGGAGTTCCTGAAGAGGGGGACCTGGGCTCAGGACAAGTGGAATCTTTGGTATACACAAAGATTCAACACTTACCAGTCCAAGACAGATTTATTTAGGAAAATAGTTACACATTCAAGGGAGAATGTGGGCCATCTCAAGGGAAAAACTCTTAGAGTAAAATAATAATTCACATTCAAGAGAGAATGCTGGCCATCTTGAGAGTAAGAAGCTCTTGTGGTAAAACAAGGAATAAACATTCAAGGTAGAATGCTGACCATCTCCAGGGGGAGAGATAGCAACTCTTGGGTGTGGGTGTTAATATTTATAGAGGGACAATAGTTAGGGGCTGCACTAGAGGTGGACCCAGGGCAGTTACCCTATTGAGCCACTCCTGCATTGCTCTCCTGTTACTTTTTGCAAGGTCAAGGGCACAGGCCAAGGGTGAGGGCTGAGGACTGGGCAGAGTTGTTCACACATGCTTGTTTTGCATATCAAAGGTTCATGGGTGTTTCCTGCTTTCCAATTGGCTCTTTCATACTCTTTTTGGAGAGTCAGTCTCTCTTTTAGTCTCTCCCAATTCTTATCTCATGAAGACTTGTCAGCCTGGATAAGTAAGTCTGACTGAACAGAAAAAAAACCCTTCCAACAATTATAATATGTTTTATTTTCAAGCACTCAAGGAACATTTCTAAGAACTGACCTTGTTGTGAGCCACAAAGCAAATCCTAACCAGTTTCGAAGGACCGTGATCTTAGCAGCTATTGTAGAGTAATAGCAAAAAAATGACCAGGTTTGTGACACCTCACCCCTACTTCTTTGGTTGCCCCTTTTCTGTGCCTACTTGGGTTCCCATTGACTTGTTACTATTTAAGTTCCTGGGGTTCTGTGGTTGGCTCTTGACTCTTCTACCCTTTGCCTGGTAGGATCCTTTACCTCCTGAGTCTTTGCCCACCATCTCTCTGCTGGTGATCCGAGACTAAATGTCTCTAACTATATTGTTACATGCAGCTTATTTCTGGACCCACTTATGTGGATTATTCCACTGTCAATTCAAAGTTCAAGGCTTATGGATGAATAAAGAAAAGTAGATTTTTTGGTTTTTGGTACTGGGGATTTAGCCTAGGGGGCATTACAACTGTGCTATATCCTCAGCCCTTTTTATGTATTATTTTAAATCTCACTAAGTTGGTTAGGGCCTTGATAAATTGCTGAAGTTGGCCTCAAATTTGTGATCCTCCTGCCTCAGTCCCCCAAGTCTCTTGGATTATAGGCCACCATCACTGTGCCCAGCAGGAAAAGCAGGTTTTGACACAGCATGGAATGTGAGCCATTCATGTAAAATTGAGCATATCTGTATTAGTATGTGTGTGTGTAGAGAAATATGTAGAAAAATATTCAGCAAAAATGTTAGTGGTATTTCTTTGGGAAGGACTTTCTAATGACTTTTTTATTTAAGTGTGCAGCATCATTCTTGCCAGAATAGAGGCTATTAAAAGACAACCACTATCTCAATAAGTCTGTTATCTTCCCTATGCAGCAAAATTGTCAAGCCATAACCCTTAGGAAGACGGGCAAGTCCTCTTCCTTTGTCAGCTGTGCCAGCTCTCTCACTTGGGGAGTGGGCAACCACTGGGGTCTCCAAAGGAACCAGCTGGCACACTCAAATTAGATAATTTGAAGAGTTTTTCATAAAGAGATTGATTGGGGGCTGAGGATGTTTCTCAGGGGTAGAGCACTTTCCTAGCATACGTAAAGCCAAGGTTCAATCCCAAATCCTTCAAAATAATGTGTTAATTTAAATGAATTTTTAAAATGAAGAGGTTGTTGACCAGAGTATGGGCAGGGTATAAAGAAACTAGGAGGGATTGCCCAATTCCGTTGGGACTCTGTTCCTACCTCCAACCCCATAGGGGAGAGGAGACAGAGTGGTGACCAGAACTGGGAAGGAGGGGCTGTGCAGAGAGAGACCTGGGACAAGAGCATAGGCCAAGGGATCCAGAGTATTTGGATCTGGAAAACCAAAAGACAGATCTCTTTCCTCCATTTCTCATGCTTCCAGAGAAGACAGGCAATGTCCAGTTCACTCTGCAGGGAAGGAAAAATATGGGGGTGATAAATCAGGCAAAAATATCTGCCCCCTCCTTTATTTACCCTTAGAGT